GCAAACAGCTCGCGCGAATTGTCCATCAATACCCGGGCACCAACGAAGAGCTGCTGGAGGAGCTCATCACCCGCTACATCAACACATCTCAGAAACAGAACAGCACAGAGCAGTTGCCTGAATACACTGGAACAGCCAACGAACAGTTGGACGCCGACATTTCGCAAAGTGAGGTTTGCATAGCGCTACATAAACTGCGTACAACATCGGCACCCGGTCCTGACGGGGTGACAAATAAGACGCTGCGCAACCTCGATCCAAAGTCGGTAGGGGCCATTACTGAATATATGAATGAGTGCTGGAGGTCCGGCCATTTGCCATCAGAATGGAAACACGCAAGGGTCGCGTTTATACCGAAACCGGGCAAGAAACTCGACCTGGAGAATCTTCGTCCAATCTCGTTGACCTCCTGCCTGGGCAAACTAATGGAGCATGTTGTCCTCTGTCGCTTGCAAAATTTCGCGGAAGAGCACCGCCTACTTCCCCCCACAATGCTGGGCTTCAGGGCCCATCTATCCACTCAGGATGCGCTCATCCAGTTGCATCACGATCTCCTACGACCTGAGAGTGGCACTAGTACCAAGGCTTTGCTCGGTCTGGACCTTCACAAAGCATTTGACAACGTGAAGCATAGTGCCATTTTAGGCAGTCTGTCCGAACTACGATCCGGGGAACGCATATTTAACTACGTCCGTGCTTTCTTATCTAATCGAACGGTTGAACTCTCAGTGGGTGACCTTCGTTCTAAGCTCATCACACTCGGTGATCGCGGCACCCCGCAGGGAGCTGTTTTGTCCCCTTTCCTTTTCAACCTCGCTATGAGGTCACTACCTCCCAAACTTGACACGATACCCGGCCTGCGATACACCCTCTACGCAGATGACATCACGCTCTGGACGACGGTGGGATCCGATGGTCAAATCGAGGAGACTCTTCAAAGAGCAACCGACGTAGTCGTTCAGCACGTGTCAGAAGCGGGTTTGGAGTGTTCCCAGAGCAAATCGGAGCTACTATTACTGCGACCTCCAGATCGCCGCAAAATTAAGACTCCACTTCCTAGTATTAACGTGTATGTCAATGACACGCCAATTAAGCAGGTGGCCCACATGAGAGTACTCGGACTCATTGTGCAAACAAACCACCACAACAACATTACGCTAGACCGTCTCACCGTAACCGTGAACCAGACGGCCCATCTTATATCTCGAGTGAGCGCTCGCAATCGAGGCATGAAGGAGAAAGAACTGCTACAGATAATTCAAGCCTTCGTTTTGTCGCGCTTCACGTACGCCCTCCCTTATTTGCACCTCCTTCAATCTGAGCGAGCCCAACTAAATCGGCTCTTACGCAAAGCGTATAAGGTGGCATTGGGTCTCCCCCGAAACACATCGACAGAGCACCTCCTCAGTCTTGGGCTGCATAACACCTTAGAAGAACTTCTTGAAGCGCATCTTACGGCGCAAATTCACCGATTACAGGGAAGCAGGACGGGGCGTTGGATCCTTGCTAACATTGACCATGTGGTATCTCCTACGGGTAACGATCCGGCTGTCATCCCCCCCAACATCAGAAAGAAATTCCTCATAAAACCACTGCCAAAGAACATGTTGGCCAGCCATCACGACGGTAGAAGGAAAGCGAGGGCCAAATTCTTGCAAAAAACGTACGCGTCCAACCCAACCGTTGCGTACGTTGACGCCGCCCAATACCGAGAGTTTACTAAAGCATATGCAATAAGCGTAATCACTCTCCCCGGCAACAACGCCAATTCACCTCAAATTAAAGCGGCTGCTTCTGTCCGTGTGCTTAATACGACAGAAGCTGAGGAAGCGGCGATAGCGCTAGCAGCAGCATCCGGATTCACCACTATACTCAGTGACTCAAAGGCTGCTATATCCAACTTCGCACGTGGCATTGTGGCCCCCACAACTCTGCGTTTACTATTGCCCAGTCTCCTTACAGATGCTGAGGAAGACGCACTATCCTCCATTGCGCTGGTATGGGTGCCGGCTCACGCGGGGAACCCAGGGAACGAGGCGGCCCACCTATATGCTCGAGGATTCGTCAGCCGAGCGGTGGTACCCGCCTCTGATTTGGAAAACCCTGGTGAAGCCTTGACATCCTACCATGACATCACACAATATTACCGTCTTTCGAGGCAGACAAAACCACCCCCGCACCATAAGCTAACTAAGCGCCAGGAGGTTATCTGGCGCCGCTTGCAAACACATTCATTTCCGTGCCCATACATTTATGCACGTATATACCCCGACTCGATTGATCCGCATTGCTCGCATTGTGGCTCAATAGCCACACTTAATCACATTCTCTGGGCCTGCAGGGAAGATCCCCCCTCTCTCGATCTCCTAGCCGCTCCCTCGCCAGAGGGGTGGGAGGCAGTTCTGACCTCCACCAGCCTGGCCGTTCAGCTCCAGGCCGTACAAAGGGCAGAGGAGGTGGCCATCAGGTTCAGCCTGGCGGGTCACCTACCTCCTTAAGTCTGACGACAATAAAGTTGTGTTCTCTCTCTCTCGCGACCGATGTTTCTGAAAACGCGGAACCGCGGGACGCGTTTGTTCGGCGTTCGCGTTTCAAAACATTGTGTGATGTAACGCTTTCTATCGAACGGAAAGCCTTCTATACGTAAGCAAAAATTTTCGCCGCGTTGATGCGTTTGGTATGAACGAACAGTTGCTTGTGCGCGTGCGTCGTTCAATACCCACCAAACAAAAGAAAACCAAGGACTTATATGCGCCCATCGCTTGCATGCTTATATCACTGTGCAGAATCGTTACCATGGTCGAGGTATAGCTGGCCGCGGTAGTTTCTGTCATGACTCGCTGCCCTAGAGATGACCGCATTGGTTGAACTGTCCTGTGCGTACATCAGTCAACGTCTGGGAAATCTGCATGGTAGTTATGTGTTTGACAAAAGTACAGCGGGCGAGATGTTTCTTTTGTCAGTCACATAAACAGCTGTCTACGCGAGCCTTCTTTATTGACGCTTTGCGAAGAATGGTCCCTAACAATGGAAGTTCTTGGGCGCTTGTTACATTTCTCAAGTGTATCGAAAGCTATTCGTTTTCTGGCGAACTCTGGGGCCGCTTTGGTAGTTGTACTGTGTGTGTGTGTGCGTGTGTGTGTGTGTGTGTGTGTGTGTGACTGCAAAAAGTGACTGCATTGTTCGTTAGTTGAATGAACGCTCATATTGAGTAGATAGCGATGGCTCTTGTTGGTTAATATCGATAGATGAAGGCTATCCAATGTGATAACGGAAGCACCTTGTTTACCCCTTTTTTCAATTAATGTGCTCTCCATATATACTTACTAAGCAAGAACTTCAGTTGGTTTAGCTTAAGTATAGTTTTTTTACTTAGTTTTATGCTTTAAACACAGCTCAACCGTTTCTCCCGCAACCTTTGAAATACGCTGAAAAATGGGCTTACAATGAAAAAAAAAAGAAAAACAAGTAACAGTTACTATTGAGGGTTTCCTCCGCAATGTGTCCCACGTTTTTTTCTTCTTCTGCCTTCTTTACTTCCCTCGATGACGGCATTGAAAGTGGCCTTTCGTGCGTGCCACCACACCCCGCGGTTTGTACACGAATCTTGCAGTTTAATTAGGCCGGCTTCTCCCACGCAATTCGTCGCGGCGCGCTTCCTCGTTTTGATTTGTTCTCGCGTCGTTGTTGGTTCAGCTGTTGTTCTCGCTGCCGTCCCACGCACGCATAGCGGCCCGCGCGTGCATCGCAGCTAATCACGATGAGTAGAGTACTGGCTGCGGTGGCAGCCTGCTCACGCGCCTGCGCCATACCGTGATTTCAGGAATACAGTGGTCGGCGTATATACCTATACTCGCTGGCAACCAAGTTAAACCGAAGTCCGTTTTTATTTGGTAGCCATTTTTATTGCCACTATCCCTCAAGAGGAAGGCATATAACACCTGTATCTTGCCGGTACTTAGCTACGGAGCAGAAACCTGGAGATTTACAAAGAGGGTTCAGCTTAAATTGAGGACGACGCAGCGAGCAATGGAAAGAAAAATGGTAGGTGTAACCTTAAGGGACAAGAAGAGAGCAGAGTGGATTAGGGGACAAACGGGGGGGTTAAGGATATCACAGTTGAAATGAAGAAGAGGAAATGGACATGGGCCGGGCATGTAGCGCGTAGACAGGATAACCGCTGGTCATTAAGGGTAACTAACTGGATTCCCAGAGAAGGGAAGCGGGTTATAGGGGGAGACAGAAGGTTAGGTGGGCAGATGAGATAAAGAAGTTTGCGGGTATAAATTGGCAGCAGCAAGCACAGGACCGGGTTAACTGGCGGAACATGGGAGAGGCCTTTGTCCTGCAGTGGACGTAGTCAGGCTGATGATGATGATGATGATGATGATGATGATGACATTTTTATTTCGACAGAAATTATGCGGACGCCCGAGGCACATTTGCGCCGTCGGCGTCGATGTGGCCCTGATGTTCCAAAACCTTATCTTCTCGGACATTTTTTTTTAAAGGTGAATTCTATAGAGATCGATGGTTGCTTTTGTATTTATCCGATATTCCCCATCCCAGTGCGAGTAGTTTGGAGAGGAAACATTTATCATTTACTCATCGTGGTGGTCTACTGGTTATGGTGCACGACAGGTGGTCCGAAGGTCGCCGGATTGAATCCTGGCCATGGCTGCCAAATTTTTTTTTTGAAAGCAGAATGCCTGGTGGAAATTTCCGTAGCAATTCACTACTGCGTCTCTCCTCTCACAATCACGTCCTGGTTTTCGGACATTTAATTTGATTAATTATCAGTGTTTATCGATGGACTAGCCTCACCACGTACCTACTCCTATTCGAGGAAAAACGATACGTGGGATGGTAGTATTACAAGATCTGTCCTTCTACGAACTCGGTTCTATTGGTGTTGACCTATCCTGTGAACATTTGTTTCATCGCTTTCATTGTCACAGTGCGCCGGAAAAACTGACCTCATTGTGTTTCTCATTTACAAGCTCCTCATTCGACCGGACCTCCAGATGCGACGGGGACATTACATCCATGGATCAGACAATGTAAATACCCCTTTCTCTGTCTCGTTTCACCATATGAACTGCTTGTGACTTTTATCTTTCACTGTGTTTAAAAACACAAGAAAATCGATTCGATGAGAAAGTTTCGCTGGTCGGACACTTCTAATTCATCTAGTTTCGGTACGTTTACTTTTTTTTCTTGTCTGTAAGGGATGTTGTACACGATGATTGTGCCCAAATATTAAACACCTGGGTGGCCCCGCGGTTTGTGGTGCGACACTGTAACTTTGCCAGACTGTGAGTCGTTCGTGAGACTGCGAGAACAGGGGGTCGTTTTTGGCAAACTAGCTTATTTCGTCAGATATGAATTTTTTTCGAAAATTCGCCATTCTGTTACGGCAAGCTGCACCTTTGGTCGACTAGAGATGGCGCTACGTGCAGATGGCCCCAAATCTTGGCCATGCTTACAACAAGACGATTAGGTTGAACTGTCTAATTTTCTCATCGATCCTAGTTTACCTCTCCCTCCTCACCAACGTGCAAATAACTGATGCACGTCAGCGTCTTTATCTTTTCGAGCGGACGAGCTATACTCCTTTTAACACGTTAGGTGCCGCGCTGGGAAGCATGGAGAGACTTGATGGTGTAAGTATACGTCCGCGTGAAGAAATAGTTTGATATTCTTTCCAGCTAGAATAGATTTTTTTTTCCTTTTTAAGGCAGAGTAATGAATGAATATGTTTAGTGCCTGCTGGATTCCGTGCTGAACGGTTGTGTCGACCGCGATTTCCGACGTCAGCGTAGATCTCGCCAATTGGTGCCCCGTCCTCAGACTTGTTCGACCTTGTCCCCCATCTTTCCTATCTCGTCCTTCCTCTTTCTTCACTCGTGTGCGGCGAGTGCTCCGTCTTCCATATCTTTCTCTTGCTACTGTCCTTTTGATCCCGTTACCCCGTACCCTATAAGGAGCTTAGCCGGGTCGCCTACAAGGCAGACAGAAATTAGCTTCTTTTTCCTTTCCTCCATGAACCGCCACCACCACCACCACCACCACCACCACCACCACCACCACTTACTACTACTACTACTACTACTACTACTACTACTACTACTACTACTACTTGCAAATAGCGATGCGTCACGTGGAGGCTCGTGTGTGCGCTTACAACGACGAAAGCCCTTGCATGAGACGCGAAATGTAATACATTTTGCTGGCCGGTATTCCCCTGCATAGTTTCCTCAGCGTTGAACCTGATGTGGGAAATTGAACATTAGTCCACCGCCGTGTACATGATATTTCACTTAAAAAAGATGTGCGCTGCCATCTTGGGCTTTTAAGTCAATTTTTTCTGGTTTTGTATATTCAGATTGGAATGAATAAAGCCGTGAAACACCGTAATGACGAATTTAACCGTTTTCACACGTGCGCGTCTCCCGTGACGCTGTTCACTTAGTTGTTAAAAGACGCAAAACGCGAAGCTTATACCAGCACAACATGGCGGCACCGAGATACCTCCGTAGAGTAGTAGTCTTTACTACGCTGACGCGGACGAAGGGTAAGTACATCGCGGAAAACGCGGTACGTCCGCACCTGCGGAGGCCGCGCCCAGCGCATCCGCGTGCTCGACGTGTCCCACACGCGCTATCAATTTGCCTCTGCGCTCCGTGGCGAGGAGGCGCCACCAGCAACCGCCGATGATGCTGCTGTTGCTTCTCCCGTTCTTGTTGCGTCCACCTCTCTCTCTCTCAGGAGCACCGCTTTTCCTCGACGGCACGCGAACGGGCCTGGACCTTAATTTGCCTGCTTCCTGTATGTGCCGGCGTGGCGCTGTTGTTATTTTGACCGTCGCTGTTCGGGCGCGACGTTCGAATCTCGCGCGTCCCGTGCAGCGCGTCTTCGAACTTGGCGTGACAGAGGGACGGCGCTTGCCGTGCTCGCGTGGGTAATTAACCCAGGCATGGGTAATTATTAAGAGAAAAAAAAAACGAAGTTTTAACGGCACGTGTGTTGCAGATTTTTAGTGCTCTTTTCTATTTTTTGAGGGATTTCGTAGACAATGTCTTCTATAGATGTCTCGGCGAGAGACGTGGGCAGCGCTTTGTCACCAAGTCACTTGGCTAGGACTACCGCGTTTACCTGTGCGTTAGCAAACTTCGCTTGCGGTGACTCATGTTGCCTGCTGTTGGCAAAATCATGCCTAGTATTTAGAATCAAATCTTGGCAAATCATCATCGCCCCGTTGTCTTCATTAAATGTCAACCGAATGAATCAGTTATATACTGATTTTTCTTTATAGCGTCACCTGATATGCAACTTTCGGAGACTAACTTGCTCAGCACGTTATATTACGTTACCCTAACGACACCGAAAAAGCGTCAGAGTTCGTTCAGTAGCTTCCGGTGTTTCAGAAAGACCACAGAGACCGCAGGACCGATACGTCTTCGGTTTATTGTTGACAGAACAGGAAAAAAAAAATATGCAGAGCGTGACCCTGGCTACTTCTTCTTCCTCGCCTCCGAGCTCCATCTTCTATCTGTTTTC